TTGGGCCTCGACTGGATCGGTCGTCTCAATCTATGGGGTTTGCCATTGAGCACAATGCGTAACACGCCATCTTTCTCCTACACATGGATGGAAAAACAAATGACAGAGCAGTTTCCGGAGGTTTACCAAGACGGACTCGGACTATGCACCCGTGCGCAGGCCTCAATGCAACTTCGACCTGACACTCAACCAGAATTCCGCCACACGCAGGACTTTGTTGAAGAGGATGGGTTATCACGACTTCCACAACACCAGACGTCTACTCCAGAAGACATGGTGATTGCAGCTATCACCTCCGACACAGACACACGTCGGGCACTGAACGACGCCATCAGGGGAACCCCCGTTACTGCCGAGGACATCTAGCCTGCCTGGACAAATGAAGCCAATGTTCAATCCATTATATCATGGACTATACATGGCTGGCCACTTACGGTAACCTCCGACGAACTGAAACAGTTGTATATGCGACGTGCATCCCTATATGTGGTTGACTCATGCCCCATGGTCGCCAATCGTGTTGTCATTCCATCGTCATTTCGTTCAGGAGTACTCCGCCAATTTCTTGCGACCCACCCTGGCACGAGCAGGATGAAGGCAATCGCCTTCTATGGACAGAGACCTAGAAGCCACCAACAGCTAGTCTTCAATCTGCAATGAGAAAACTGGTTTGAAAATGTAAATTATGCATATGTCAGCGGTATATTATTTGATTCCCACTGAAGTCTGGAGACGCCAACTTGTAATTCCCGAAAATGTCACCTTCGCAGGAAGTGGAAAAATGAAATGTTTTTTATTTTGCAGTCATCTGTGGTCGTCCATGAACCTCATTCATTCCCTCAATACATATGGCATTTGTCCAATGATTTGAACTCTCATACAATCCTCAAAATATTTCCCGTACGACAGACATGAATGTAGTAGTAATAATAATGAGAATAATAATAGTAGTAGTAGTAGTATGAATAGTATGCACGGAACACGAAAAGCGAATCACGGAATACGAATCCCAGAGTCACTGATTCGTAGTCACGGCCGTCACGTAAGTACTGGATCACACTGGTGATAGAACGACAGTATTCCATGGAACCGAGACGCGAGGAAAAAGGCCGAAGGAGTAGTAGTTTGTTTATTCAAAGAAATAGGCGTGAATATATATAATATATACAAAACAAGCTGATTGGTCATCTAGGCTTCTGCCAGTCGCGTTCTAGTGTTTCTGGCGTTGTTCGGCTTCTGTTTGGGTTGCCCGGTTTCTGATTGGCTGGTACAATTGACCTATAATGTGTAGTCCAGAAGTTGTGACGTGCACGCACTTTGCAGACGTCACTCGCGAATCCCCATTAATCGCAGCTGTCCGAAAACTGTACCGTAAAGCTTCAAGGTATACATCATCTCGCAGGCTAGGACCATCGCAGTGAGCTGCGCATTTTCCGTTCTCTTTCCTGGCGTTATTGTGCGACTCATACAGCGGATTGTTGCGCCAAAAAACAGCTTGTTTACCAAANGCATTTTACCAGTTTTTGTGCGTGTGTGTGCGCGCGCCATAAACAAATGATAGAACTGTGTTCAAAAAGAATCACTCCTCTCTACCCCATGCTATACAGCCCCGTTTGTTGATCCATGTGAGTTTTTTTAAGATTTCTATCAATTAGGCGGGGACCAATGACTCTGTTACCCGAAAGAAGGAGGGCTACCAAAACTTGATTCATTATAGATCTGCCAATGTTCACCAGAATATGTTGATCCTGTCCGCATTATGGACTTGTTTTATACAAAACTATGTGGTATTTGTGCTGCTGAATGGACGGCCGTGTGCAAACTTTCTCAGATCAATCTCCCAGTTTGGTTTCCGCAGATGGGTAATAAAAAGCGGATCAATTGACCGGACAACCACAAAGGATGGTTCCTTCGTTTTGCACTAATAAGAAACCCTCAACGCCATCAGCGGTTTGGAATACCTCTTGTTTCTTATTGTTCAACATGTAGAACACGAGGTTAAGTGCACGGTCTGGGTTCTGTAGAGTTCATACAGTAAAACCGAGGTTTGTCAACTTATATTAATTCAAAAAGCACAGTGTAACTTTAGTTTGCCTCTTAATGAAACGCTCTTTTTCCGTGTCCCCTCATATATCAAGATTATCCGGGTGAGTTCATTGAACCGGAATAAAATATGGAAGATTAAAATTTAAACAAATAGTGCAAAATACCGAAACTTCAATGTGTGTATTTAGAGTTTCAAACTTGGATTACCCCGTTCCAGTTTTATGGAGGAATCAGCCACTCTTGATTATCTTCTTCTGTTTCATTGTTTGTAGTTCGTCTGCTGGGTAGACGGATGCCTAATCAGGTCTAGGCCAGTTTGCAATTCACAATCAACAGTTTTGTGAATAAGGTGAGCGAGCAGTGCTGGGATTCACGTGCACTTNCTTCGAGCAATATACTGTGGTGATTTGGACTGGGAGGTAGAAATAAGCAATCTCTGAAATGCGCACTTCGATATCAATTAGCTGTGAACACAAAAGTCCGATTCATTTACATTTTTCATGAGAGCAAAAAGAAGAAGTTTCATGATCACAGGATGTGTTAAATTCAACTAATTCGTGGTTATCTCATCAGTTATGTACATACATTCAAATCACTTCACTAGGGCAGTTAATTGTTTTCCTGGTAATTTCAGGCGAAGTCACACAAACGCACACACATACGCGCTCTCACACACATTATTGTTTTTTGTTCTTTTATGAGTGGCAGTCTTTGGGAAGCCATCCACTCCCCACTTGTGCGAAGTCTTGCATTTGCGTACTTTTCAACTTTCACCTTTTCAAGGTCAACGATGTCATGTATGAATGCTGAAACAGAATGAGTTCAACTTGGGTATTCCGTAAATGTCAATGAAATGGAAAATTTCATACATTCCACCAGGGGCTCAAGTATGACTGCGTCAATCCGTAGAAGGCTCGAGAGAGAGAGAGGCAAATGATGGGTCGGGTGGTGATGACCAATTGGTTAGGTCACCAAAATGCGGCACGGAAGTCCCGAGTTCAACCCGCTATACCGCCGCCCGTATTTCATATTTGTGTATTTCCCCAGGCAGCTCTTGTATGGCTGCAGCCCCTTCCTGAAATTTGACTGTTTGTTCAACAACGAAAAAAAATAAGTGAAAAGACATTTCACATTAACTACTGGCTAACAGCCAGGAGCGAGTCGCCCTACAGGCCCTCAATCAAGCAAAAATACACATTTATACTCCTGGTCTTGGAGATAATTCATGAAAGACTTCTAACAATGTAGGTGAATAAACAGATTCCCAATAGTTATCCGTGCCTTCTTGAGTCTGTATGTGCGTGTGTGTGTGTTTGTGACAACCTAATCTCACTTTTCCCGCTATCGTAATGCTATCCTTTAATCACGGCCCCGGGAGTGGAGAAATAATCTTTTTTTCCTTTGGCTCTTTCAAACCTACTGCCACTATCACAACAAACAAATCAAGGGGTTAGGAATGATGAAACTCTAGGGTGTGGCATACCTGTAGCAGTGTTCTTATTCGGGAGACGGGAGGCGAGTTGTATGGTGATACTTACGGTATGTGATTACTGTCAGATAGCGGTTAGGAGTTTCTCATAAAATGCCAAAAATGGCACAGGACAACCTGGAGTGAATCAATCGATTTAACATTGTGATAACAGAATATTCAAACAAACTGGTGACCTGCTTGACCGCAAGCTCGGANAGACCATCTCCTCTGTTCTAAACAAGCGGATTCACTCACAACCGATTGCATTCCTCCACTTAACAACTACTCATTTCGACACTGTTCTTGCAGATTTATACCGCCTACCATTTGTTTTATCTGACTCTAAAGTATCTAGGCCTACTTTAGGCAGTTCATGTTGAACTTAGAAAAATTAACTGACAGTCAGTTAAATGAAATCAGTGAACATACTCTTTTCCACGTATTATGTGGCATGCCTTGGAAGATTTCTGTTCGTATATCACGGCAATTGATTCATTTCGCCAAAGTTGCTTGGGCACGAAAATTCTGATCCCAGCTCCGGAACGGAACGGATGGGATGGCGGGAAACGGCGTTGAACTTACTGATGAATATATTTGACTCTGTCATAACCCACGTTCGATGTAAACCAATTTTGACGATCGTGTTTTCTGTTATAGTTTGATTTTATCGTGTCTCTCGAACTAAAAGCTCCAAAGTCGATGTCGTTTCTCTTTCATAAACCGTCAGCAGTTAGAAACACCAAAGCAGCACACATTATTCTTCATCACATGTGTACTACTTTGGTCTGGTTCCTTGAAAGCGCTTAAAATAACACAAGTCAAATAGGTGGTGTGGATATTTACTGTTTCATGAAATATTAAGGGTGATCCAGAGAAAGACAAATGGATGAATATTCTGCAGTTCAGTTGGTAGGATCATTCTGATGATACCCGGAGAGTTGTGGAACTACAACCCTACTCCAAGAGATAGTAAACGCAATCGGAAGATGGAAAAGAGAAATTGCTTGGTTATTTGGCAAACATATATCACAATACACACGGTAAGGAAACCACAAATTTGGGAAGAACATAATCACAAACGCCAAAATTGTGCAAGATACAGACGTTCAAAAGGATAGCTACGCTTGTACCACTTTCTATGGAAAGAGGTTTGAAAATGAATCAGTAAACGGTAGAAATCTTCTTTTACGTAGTTTTATAAATTTCTGAGTGTGGGAATTTAGTCCCAGGTGAAAATCGTATAAAACACGAATTAACTCGTTAACGCTCTATTGTATCCATGAGATGACATTCAATTTCCTCTTAAGCGATTTTAACTCACTACCTTCCACTCAACTACACGTTTTTGAAGCAACGCGTTCCAGTTTATTGTCATAAGAACTCAGCAATAGTGCATGTACACCGTCCAGGACTCCGAACACCAGAACCATTGCATCCAAGGCGTGAGCGCTAAACGAGGTTTCTCGAACAAGTTGGAATTTCGTGTCCCAGACCAAATGTTAAGTTCACACTTAGCTCACAACTACTCATAAGTAGTGCAAATGTCATTCGAAAAAGAGTTCGGTACACGAACTTCGGGTTTATTGCATTCCTTCATTCTGCGGGATTCTTACTACCGCGCATGTGCTCAAAAATGATTTAGAAAAACCAGATATGTGGAAAATATTCATTTTGACATTGAAAATAAAATCCGATAGGCGAAAGAAGCTGTTTTTCGATAAATTTATCAACTGGCCATTTTGATATATACATGTAGAGCATTTAATTTTGTTGGATCCTTTGTGCGGTGGATCCTACCAGATGATACGTTGGCTCAGATAAAGAACGGAATAACAAATCAGAGTCAGCG